GTGATATGGAACCTTGTAGTACAATTTGAGAAAGATCCATAAACTTACACACAAGTTATTGTCCTGAAACTAGAAAAATGCTTGTTTTTTGCCCCTTTTTTGGCCCCTAATTCCTAAACTTTTGAGGCAATTACCCCCAAAATCAATCCCAGCATTCCCTTTGTTATATGGAACCTTGTAGTACAATGTCAGAGAGATCCATACACTAACACACAAGTTATGTCTGGAAGTTACAAAAAAGCTTATTTTTGGCCCCTTTTTTGCCCCTAATTCCTTAACTGTTGGTACCATAACCCCCAAAATCAATCCCCACCTTTCTTTTGTGGTATTGAACCTTATGGTAAAATTTCATAGAGATCCATTCACTTAAACTAAAGTTAGAGTGCGAAAACCAATGCGTCTTCGGACGACAATGACGACGCCAACGTCATACCAATATACGACCACAAAAATTTTTTGCGGTCATATAAAAACTGCATTTGACCCCTATGTTCTATTTTTAGCCATGGCGGCCATGTTTGTTGATGGATCAAAAATTCGGATACAATTCATAAACTAGATTCCTAAAGGAACATTCCTTTAAAGTTAAGAAGTATTAGGCACAACAGTTTCAGAGGAGAAGATTTTTAAATGTTAACAAACTTGATGAACGAATTGTATAAAATTGTCTTTAAAGGGCAATAACTCCTTAAGTGGTCAATTGACAATTTTGGTCATATTAACTTTTTTGTAGATCTTACTTTGCTGAACATTATTGCTTTTTCAGTTTATATCTATCTATAATAATATTCAAGATAATAACAAACAAGAGGCTCTCAAGAGCCTGAATCGCTCACCTGTATTTCAGAGGAGAAGATTTTTAAATGTTAGCAAACTTGATGAACAAATTGTGTAAAATTGTCTTTAAAGGGCAATAACTCCTTAAGGGGTCAATTGACCATAATGGTCATATTAACTTTTTTGTAGATCTTACTTTGCTGAACATTATTGCTGCTTACAGTTTATAATTATCTATAATAATATTCAAAATAATAATAAAAAACTGCAAAATTTTGTTAAAACTACCAATTTGGTGGCAGCAACCCAACAATGGGTTGTTCGATTCGTCTGATAATTTCAGGGCAGATAGATCTTGACCAATTAAACAATTTTACCCCTGTCACATTTGCTCTAAGAGATTTAGTTTTTGAGATATAAGCCAAAAACTGCATTTGACCCTTATGTTCTATTTTTAGCCATGGCGGCCATGTTTGTCGATAGATACAAATTTCGGATACAATTTATAAACAAGATACCATAAAGGAACATTTAGTTAAAGTTTGAAGGAAATTGGCCAAGAAGGTTCAGAGGAGAAGATTTTTAAATGTTAGCAAACTTGATTAACAAATTGTGTAAAATTGTCTTTAAAGGGCAATAACTCCTTAAGGGGTCAATTAACAATTATGGTCATATCAACTTTTTTGTAGATCTTACTTTGCTGAACTTTATTGCTGCTTACAGTTTATATATATATCTATAATAATATTCAAAATAATAACAAAAAACTGCAAAATTTTGTTAAAACTACCAATTTGGTGGCAGCAAGCCAACAATGGGTTGTTCGAATCGTCTGAAAATTTCAGAACTGATAGATCTTGACCAATTGAACAATTTTATCCCATGTCAGATTTGCTCTAAAAGCTTTAGTTTTTGAGATATAAGCCAAAAACTGCATTTGACCCCTATGTTCTATTTTTAGCCATGGCGGCCATGTTTGTCGATGGATCAAAACTTCGGATACAATTTATAAACAAGATACCCTAAGGAACATTTAGTTAAAGTTTGAAGGTATTTGGCCCAGTAGTTTCAGAGGAGAAGATTTTTGAAATAGTTTACAACAACAGACGACGACGACAACAGATGACAGACGACGACGGACGCCAAGTGATGGCATAAGCTCACATGGGGCCCTTCGGGCCCAGGTGAGCTAAAAACTGCAAAATTTCCTAAAAACTACCAATTTAGTGGCAGCAACCCAGCAATGTGTTGTTCTATTCATCTGCAAAATTTCAGGGCTGATAGATCTTGACCAATTGAACAATTTTACCCCGTCAGATTTGCTCTAAAAGCTTTAGTTTTTGAGATATAAGCCAAAAAACTGCATTTGACCCCTATGTTCTATTTTTAGCCATGGTGGCCATGTTTGTCAATGGATCAAAACTTCAGATAAACTTTATAAACTAAATACCCTAAAGATTATTTATTTAAATTTTAAGGTATTTCGCCCAGTAGTTTCAGAGAAGATTTTTAAATGTTAGCAAACTTGATGAACAAATTGTGTAAAATTGTCTTTAAAGGGCAATAACTCCTTAAGGGGTCAATTGAAAATTTTGGTCATTTTACTTTTTTGTAGATCTTACTTTGCTAAGCATTATATTGCTGTTTACAGTTTATATCTATCTGTAATAATATTTAAGATAATAACAAAAAACTGCAAAATTTCCTTAAAACTACCAATTTAGTGGCAGCAACCCAACAATGTGTTTTTCTATTCGTCTGAAAATTTCAGGGCTGATAGATCTTTACCAATTGAACAATTTCACCCCATATCCAATTTGCTCTAAAAGCTTTAGTTTTTGAGATATAAGCCAAAAACTGCATTTGACCCCTATGTTCTATTTTTAGCCATGGCTGCCATGTTTGTCGATGGATCAAAACTTCCGATACAATTCATCAACTAGATACCTGATGGAAAATTTAGTTAATGTTAGAAGGTATTTGGCTCAGTAGTTTCAGAGGAGAAGATTTTTGAAATAATTTACAATGATGACGACGACAACGGACAACAAGTGATGGCATAAGCTCACATGGGGTCCTTCGGGCCCCGGTGAGCTAAAAAATTGAAAGGGAACTTATGACAATATGTATAAACAATTCACCACAGTTTAATGAAAATTGTTCAAAGCATTTTTGAGTTATAGTCAGAAAACTTGAAAATCCCCCATTTTTTATGAATAAAATCCTACAACTCAGAAACATTAAATTTCAAATTTTAAAAAATCGAAAGGGAGCTTATGACAATAGATATAAACAAAAAATTTCATAAAAATTGGTGAAATGTTTTTGAATTATTGTCTCGTGTTGACAACAGACAGACAGACAAACTTGTATCAAATAATTCATTTATAAAATCTTTCCTAAAGTACTAGAAAAAAATCATCATAATAAAAGTACATTAACTCCGATTGGGAATTAACAGTAGATGTTGACTTCCTGAGCATGACTTTAAGCTTTATTCTTTCTAAAAAAAAACAAGAGTGTACACACTGAAATGTCTCGCCTACTATACTGACCATTGATTTTATGTTGCTAGTCCTACATATAAAGTTTTACTACAAGTATCACATTAACATTTATGATCCAAGAAAATGAGGTCAAGGTCAGATAAACCAAGCCGGAAATACATGTACACCATCAATACAATCCCACTATTACACAGAAAATAGATGACCTATTGCTTATAGTATAAAAGAAACAGACCAAACCATGGAAATTCTATACTGACCAATGAACCATGAAAATGAAGTCAAGGTCATTTGAACCCTGCCAGACAGACATGTACACCTTAAAATCATTCCATGCATCAAATATAGTTGACCTATTGCTTAAGGTATCTAAGAAAAAAAGTTAACCAGGAAAACTGAACACTGACCAATCAACCATGAAAATGAGGTGAAGGTCAGATGATACCTGCCAGACAGACATATACATCTTACAATCATTCCATACACCAAATATAGTTAACCTATTGCTTAAAGTTTAAGAAAAACAGACCAAACATGCCAAAACAGAAAAACTTAACATAAGCAATGAACCATGAAAATGAAGTCAAGATCAAATAAAACCTGCCAGACTGACATGTACATCATTAAATATTTCCATACACCAAATATAGTTGACCTACTGCATACAGTATTTGAAAACCAGACCAAAACACAAAAACTTAACATTTAGCAATGAACTGTGAAAATGAGGTCAAGGTCAAATAAAACATGTCAGACTGACATGTACATTGTAAAATATTTCAATACAGCAAATATAGTTGACCTACTGCATACAATATTAGAAAAACTGACCAAAACACAAAAACTTAACATTGAGCAATGAACCATGAAATGAGGTCAAGGTCAAATAAAACCTGCCAGACTGACATGTACATTGTAAAATATTTCCATACACCAAATATAGTTGACCTGCTGCATACAGTATTAGAACAAATTTCAGACCAAAACACAAAAACTTAACATTGAGCAATGAACCATGAAAATGAGGTCAAGGTCAAATAAAACCTGCCAGACTGACATGAACATCGTAAAATATTTCCATACACCAAATACAGTTGACCTATTGCATACAGTATTAGAAAAACAGACCAAAACACGAAAACTAACCTATGACCACTGAACCATGAAAATGAGGTCAAGGTCAAATGACACCTGCCAGTTGGACATGTACACCTTACAATCATTACATACACCAAACATAGTAGACCTATTGCTTATAGTATCTGAGATATGGACTTGACCACGAAAACTTAACCTTGTTCACTGATCCATGAAATGAGGTCGTGGTCAAGTGAACACTGTCTGACAGGCATGAGGACCTTGCAAGGTACGCACATACCAAATATAGTTATCCTATTACTCATAATAAGAGAGAAATTAACATTACAAAAAATCTTAACTTTTTTTTCAAGTAGTCACTGAACCATGAAAATGAGGTCAAGGACAATGGACATATAATAGACGGAAACTTCATATCATAAGGCATCTATATACAAAGTATGAAGCTTCCAGGTCTTCTACCTTCTGAAATATTAAGCTTTTAAGAAGTTAGTTAACGCCGCCACTGCTGCCGCCGGATCACTATCCCTTTGTCGAGCTTTCTGCGACAAAATTCGCAGGCTCTACGAAAAAAACCAATGAGTGCATTATTGTCTCTAAATAAATATATTTACACACCTAGAGCTTTTTTTAAAAACAAATCAACCACATGAAATTTGTTGGCTTGCATATGTGTTATTAAATCCGTGAAACATGCTTTCATTCCAACTTCACTTTGCCCCATTTTTATCTTAATAACATAACAGCCATCTTGACCATTCCAATCCATTTTCATATCTACAAAAACAAATGATGCTTAAATTCTAATATCTTACAACAATATAAAAACTGAATCTGATACATATAACAGTTATAGCCCCTGGAAAAGGTCTGAAATTACAGGCTCCTAAAAGTCTTAATCACTCATGTGGCAAAAATATACCATTTTGATATCTTTTGTCACCTTTCTTGCAATCAGATATGTTTGCCTATTTGTAGATCTTATCTTGAAGATAATTTTTGCTGGTAACTAAGATTTCACTAGTCTGTTGTCTGAGGCATCAGACCAGTGGCTAACTGAATTCACATATTGATTTTGAGGGGAAAAAAGACGATAAGTATATTGTAATATTGTGAGCATTCTTGCCCTCGTCAGATAATTTTTTCTAAAAGTTTTTATTTTTTTACCTTTATAATTAATTTACTAGTCTAAAGCTGAAACAATTACCTTATGGCTACAGCTTTCACGAACAAGGTACCCTAATATATTAAAATCTTTTCAAGAACAGGGTGTCCTTAAGATACGCTAAATTCATAATTGTTAGTTAGTAACATACATGACATACTTTAATACATACATAAATAAATGCAAATCATCTGATTTGGTATTATATATATTTTTTTTTGGAATTGACCTTTGCTTTTCCATCCTTATACAGTCTACATGAAACATACTTTACTCGTTTAGAAAAGTTGTGCATGTGTTTAGTGTGATCAAATAATCATTACCTAGCATGATTGAAGGATATATTGTTTATGCTGATCTTATTGATTTTTGATTAGAAACAAAAGGTAAGGTTTTGTATGTTATCTTTTATCGAGAAGGAATTTTCATTTTCTTTTACAATGTTTCGCAAACATTGTGATATGATATAAAGTCGTAAAATAGATGTTATGTTAGGTTCTTCTCTAGCTATTATAATTTTCAAGTTGAGAGAAAATTACTTGCATTTACCCGTATGTTCTATTTCATTCCATGGCAGCTATATTGGTTGATTATCAGAGACCAAAAATACTAGAAATCCTAAAGATCATTCGACCCAAGTTTGGTTGATTTTAGTTTGGCTGATTTTAGTCCTGTGGTTAAAGAAAATAGTTTTGCAAAAGTTTCAATGACTGTCTAGGAATCAGAGCAGATGGACAGATGCACAGACCAGATTTCATAATGCCCCTCTTTTATCTTATATGGGGAATAATAAAACTGAACTTATATTAAGTGAAACATGTATAAATTGAAGTCTTCTGCAAAGCAGAGTGATACATTGCCTACACTTAGTTACATCAAATGTTTTTTAGTTAATTATCGAATGCCTATCCTATTTTAAGCCAATAATGGAAACATGAAAATTTTAGAGAGTTTCGACCAAAGAAAGTGACAAACCTTGATTGCCAGTTTCTGCTACCACTACTTTCAAGTCTTTGTATTTCAAACTACTATAATACTCCATATCTGCTACAGTTACTCTGGTTTCAAAGTCTCTTGGAATATACACTAAATGCTTTGGCGGAATATCTGAAAAGTATGAATGGATGCCTTCAGTTTCTTTGACTTCATTATTTTAGAAATAGGAATTTGTTTTGTGCTGTTTCTAAAAAAAAATAATGTCAAATAGTAGTTCATAATCATATTTTAAGAAACAATAATAGTATATATGTATGTATATACTTATGATGTGTTTTATATTTTGAATATTTTATATGTTTTAAACTTGTACTGTATTTTATCTACACACAATAATACTTGAAATTGATAATTTATATCTAAAATTTATTGTAATATATGATTCATATTTGATAAAATAATATTTATGACTTCAAGTTGTCATAGCTATTCAAACTGCATTATACAGTTATAATGCTTAACCTAATGTACATTTTACATTCATTTAAAGGAAATACAGGGGTTTAATTTTCCAGGGGGGGGGGTCTTCAATTCCCGCTTTGGAAAAATTGACCCTATGGTATTTTGACCCAAGGTTCAATTTTCAGTGGTTCAAAGTTCCATATGTCACTGGCTGAACATTGTAAACAAAACATGAAATTACATTCATAAATCAGTTTTTATTTTGACAAGTCTAGTATTGAATATGAATGGACAAAATAAGGATAACAATGATAAAGATAAATACGCTTTTACCATTTATATCCATTTTATTTGTTTTGTTTTCTATAGTAAATCATCTTAAATGAGAAGGGGCCTCAATGGCCGAGTGGTTTAAGTAGTTACTACTGTAATCACTAGCCAGTCAACACTGAGGTTGTGAGTTCGAACCCCGCTCGTGCGGGTGCACTTGACTCCAATCTTAATTGACTAGGATTGTCAGTTTTCTTATCGAAGGTCAGTGGTTTTCTCCGGGCACTCCGGCTTCCTCCACCAATAAAAACTGGCCGCCACGAAATAACCCAAAAGCGGTGCTTAAAAGTGGCGTTAAAACACCAAAAATCAAATCAAATCAATCTTAAATGAGAAGGTTTGATCTATTAATTTTGATAAACTACACCACTTTCCCAAAAATATATATTTTTGTAAAGTTTTAGTATGTTGTTCATATATAGTAACAGACTTTTTTTCTGAAGAAAAACCTTGTGCTGCCATTAGATGCAGGTAATTCATCTAATTGACTATACTACTACTGGCATGCATTACTAAGCTATACTTATTTTGGGCGCATTGCAATTGCAAAATCCAATCATTCATTTGTGCCACAAGGTTATATTTCATTTGCGCCAAAAAATAAAAACTACATTTGTGCCATTTTACGGAAAAGTTTAAATATTCATAACGACATTGCTATATCGTGAATAAGAATTCTTTTGAGAGTATCCCCCCTCTGGGTGATTAAGTGAGTACATATTCATTTCTAATATAAAACTGAGAATCACTTAGGTTTAAAATTATATAGTGTTCACATGTTTCAGGTGTCCAGGTGTCAAGATGGACATTGTCAATTTTGAGACAAACAGGCCTTTAGTTTTCTCAATTGAATTGCTTCATATTTTTCATGCCGGGGCTGTTTATGGGGTTTTCTCATTATTGAAGGCCATATGGTTGCTTATTATTGCTTACATCCCATTCATTTGAACCTTAGTGGATAGTTGTCTCATTGGCATGTAACCTCCTTATTTTTATATAGAGAAAATAGGTCTGAAATTCTTTATGGCCACTTATAGGTTATCTAATGTACATCATGCTTTCTTTTAGGTTTAATGGTCACGTTAATTTATAACAGAACTGTATTTTTTCATTGTTATGAAAAGTCACTTTAACTTAATATCAATGTTTAACGCTTTCATTATGGTTATGAAGACTAAATTTCGGATGAATATGTTTTATTATGAATAAAAAAACTGTGTTTTAAAGTTATTATTAAAAGTCTCATTTGAAAAAATCTATTGTTTTATAGTATTTACCTGTATTATTGGCGCAAATGAAAAAAAATATGGTTTGAGGAGCAAATGAAAGATTTTTTCAGCACAAATGATATGACAACTGGCGCAAAAGCAAAGCACCGCTTATTTTGCTACTGTAATCATGTATTTTTCTTCTGTAATAATGTATTTTTGATTCCATTAAATACACTAACACATGTTATTCAATATGTCCAGTTTTGATGAATAGTCAATATATATATAAAGAGCATGACAAAAAACATTTATTAATACAAAACTAATTCTATTGACTGCCATATTACATTATTCAGTGAAGCCCTACACAACTAAATCAATCAAATTGTTTAAAAAAAGGAAATCTAACAAGAAAACAATTTTAAACCAATCAGAAATTATTTCATAGAAGAGATAGCCTGTGAAATGTGATCACAATATTAAATAAAATGCTCCGGTGGGCGCAGCTTGATACGACCGCAGAGGTCGAACCCTGAACAGTTGGGGCAAGTATGGACACAACATTCAAGCTTGATACAGACCTGAATTTGGATTGTGATTAAATATTTGACACAGCATAGGTTTCTGACACAGAAAGAATGTGGTCTAAGAACTTAAAAATTTTTAATTTACCTATTCAAACCATATCATTATTATTTGTTTTATATATAAATCAGAAATAACCAATTTAAAATGGAAAATTTTAAAGATAAAAAAATGAAAAAAAAATCCCCCCCCCCAAAATTTTTTTGAACCCGCTTATGATTCATCACCCCCAAACTCAATTCCAGCCTTCCCTTTCTGGTATGGTACCTTGCAGAAAAATTCCATAGAGATCCATACACTTGAACACAAGTTATTGTCTGGAAACTAGAAAAATGCTTGTTTTTTGGCCCCTTTTTAGCCCTATATTCCATAACATTTATGGCAATTACCCCCAAACTCAAACCCAGCTTTCCCTCTGTGATATGGAACCTTGTAGTACAATTTCATAAAGATCCATTCACTTACACACAAGTTATTGTCCTTAAACTAGAATCAAAGCGTGAAAGCGCTGTAAAGGCAGTTAATTACAGGTTGTGTGTATTTTTAGTCCAGTTATATCATTATCTTGCATATTACAGTGTACTTATCAGAGGTGGCTTTCAGTATTTAAGATTTAGAGTTCTCTAATGATATTGAACAAGTTTTATGAATGTCATATTCTGAGCACTATATGAAGGCGATTGTTCTCACTTGTTTATGAACTAGTGCATTATGTCCAGTTTGTACCTTTTTTATCTATGTTTATAGTCAAATACTGTTTAAAATAGTTAGGCATTTTCTTTTTAGTAAAAAGTAAATGTTATCAACTGTATTTTATTCAACTTTGCAAATGTGGTTTGTTACTGGTAAGTATGGATGATAGTTGTTTCATTGGCAATCATAACACATCTCCTTATTTATATAATGATCTATATTCAACGACCTCAGGTTCCAAAAAAAATGTATGTAACTAAACTATGATGGGAAACCTTTGACTTCTTTCTTTTATATAAACTTTTGATTTGGTACCATAGAACTATGTAGAATAAATGTACATTGCAACATGTCAACTCTTTCAATGACAATACTTTTTTTAGAAACTATAACTCCAAGCAAAATTATATTTCCAAGTATAAAGTAATTTATGAATGAAAAAAGGAGTTCTTAATTAAGAAATAAACTGAATCGCTGAGCGCAGCTGGATACACCTGCAGAGGTCCAACCCTGAACAGTTGGGGCAAAAATGGACACAATATTCAAGCTTGATACAGGTCTGAATTTGGATTGTAATTAATTATTTGACATATTATAGTTTCTGAATAAATGTAGTCAAAGAACTTGAAATCGGTTATATGAATTGAATTTATATTCAATTAAAGATTTCTTGCTGTTGTGCAATACACTGTGCTGTTGCGAAATACTTAATAAATCTGTTGCCAGACTATAAACAAATAAAGTTCAATTTCTTCTCAATGTCATATTTGAAATTTATGAAAATCAATAGGGAGATTGCATTAATAGCTATAAATAATTCACAAAAGTTTCATGCGAACTGCTTACAGCATTTTTGAGTTGTTGTCCAAAAACTGGAAAATTCCCCCTTTTTAATGAATAAAACCCCATAACTCAGAAATGTAAAATCTAAAATTTATAAAATTCTAAAGGGAGCTAATGGATTGATAATTTAGTCTTAGATGCAAGATTTTTTTATCAGTTGTTAGTGGCTTTGAACTAGCTGTCAGTAACTGCGAGTACTCTCAGATCTGTACTTAGTGTCTTTTTGTTGTTTGGATGTACAGCTACCCGGCCACGTCCACTTGTATTTGTATTTATTCATCTGATGAGTTAAGCCTCTTTCAACTGATTTTTATAGTTTGTTCTTATATTGTACTGTTACACCACTGTCCCAGGTTAGGGGGAGGGTTGGGATCCCTCTAACATGTTTAACCCTGCCACATTCTGTATGTACATGTATGTGCCTGTCCCAAGTCAGGAGCCTGTAATTCAGTGGTTGTCTGTTTATGTGTTGCATATTTGTTATTCATTCATTTTTTGTACATAAATTAGGCCGTTAGTTTTCTTGTTTGAATTGTTTTACATTGTCATTTCGGGGCCTTTTATAGCTGACTGTGCGGTATGGGCTTTGCTCATTGTTGAAGGCCGTACTGTGACCTATAGCTGTTAATTTCTGTGTCATTTGGTCTCTTGTGGAGAGTTGTCTCATTGGCAATCATACCACATCTTCTTTTTTATATTCACATCAACAGATATAAACAATTCACCAAAGTCAAGGTGAGACAACAAAACTTAGTTGTAAGATCTCTGAAATTTTTTACACTGTACGAGTTTTTCTCATTGTTGGAGATTGTACGGTGACAGTAACACCTGTAACTGCTTAAACCCATTTTTTATGCAATTTGGTTCGATAAACTCACTGAATATCATACCACATCTCCTTATTTTTATATGCATTACAATTTACATGTGCATGTAATTGTAAATATATATGTATCAGAACAAAATTCATTGCGTCACTTTTATTTATGCATCCTTTGGCACAATACAAGTTCTAAAATTACACAACATAAAACAACTAAATGTTATTTCAGATGAAAGTTTTGTTTCAGTTCCATTCATAGGATTTATTAGAATTTTGTATGTTTTGCCAAGTCCAATAATTCGCTCTGTGTGCACGTGTTAATTGGAGACTTTTCTATCCCGTATAAGAGTTTTGGAACTTATTCTGTTTCTTTTTTTGAAAAAAGTTAGCAAACAAATCTTGCACATTTAAACCTTTGTCTGCCATCACACTGTCACCTGGATCACATAATTGAACTATTCTACATCTTTCAACTATTTCACAGTCACTGGTACAACCAACATATATGCATTAGAGACATAGTTGACTAAAGCACCAGGTGTCGAACATACAAGTATTTTCAGTGTTTCTGTTTTTATATGATTAAAAGGTTGCCTGAGCTCTAGGAGCTTTAGGTTTTATCACGGGATATTCTGTGCTATCAATAATAATCCAAGTTGTAGGAAACTTTAATTTGAAGTTGGATGGCGAAAAATACCTGACTAAACCACTAGATGGCCAAGTGTTAGCCTCACACCACTGTTTAGACATAAAAACAATCAATGTATACACAATATTCTTAACACTAGATTCAATCTAGAATCTAGACAGTTCAAAGTTGGTTGTGTAATGCCTCAATTTCATCAAAGTCATAAAAAAACTGATTTTCAACTGACACCCTATCAATTTAAAAATATATGTATCTCAAACAATGTGCTGCTGGACCAAGTGTGGTCAAAACAAATAAAAATTTAGTATACAACTCTAAACCGGTATAAAAATGCATGGCTGTGTCACGTGTCTTCATTTCAAAATTCTCTGCTGAAAACATAGGCATTGATGGTGTTTACGTAATAACATCTGTGAAGCTCAACATTAGCTCGGCAGTTGGTGGTGGACAGTCATAAACCCTTTCTGCAGTATGAATGACTTCTTCAGAAAAACCAACTTTACAATCAAAACTTTCCTCTAGATTTCTACTACAATATTCATCAAGTTTAGTTCTTTTGTTTTCACAGGAAACTGCCCTGATTTTTCTTTTTGCGGACAATTCAGTCTCTTGCTTGGTCCAGGAAAATAGGCTGGGAATGGCAGTAGACTTAAGTCTCTGTATGGTGGGTTTGCGCCCTGAAAAACAATGAAAAAGGTTATAAAACATTAGTTTTTTGATATTTAAATGAACTTCCATTAGCAATGTATACTTTGTACTTCCTGGAAAAATATTAACTAGATTTATTCATTACAATCTGGATAAAACTATGTTTGCCTGATTCAATGTATGTTATGTAAATCCAAAGGACAAACAATGAGAGACTTATGCAACAAACGTTCATTGTTTGTACCTAAATAACTATAATATAGATGAGAGCATGTCATTGTTTTGTTCCTGTTAACATTGTCATTGATATTTTTCAAGCAAGTCTAGGCATAGCTTATGCATTCCTGTCATTACTACATACGCATAATTACTGCTAAAATAATTCTCAGTATGATATACCTCTTGTAAGAAATCATTATAATTGTAGCAATCACCAAAAAATCTCAAACAGATCACATTGAATCGTAATCCAAAAAATTATGACGTCTTGAATTAACCACCCCCTTTTATTCTAAAACGATAATTGCGGTTGAAAACAGACTTTGGTTTATTCGCATGGCGATTACATCTATAACTATATATTTCAAAAAGAAAATAGAGTTTTACCATGAATAGTTTCCTGCACGTAGTCTTTTTCAGTAAAATATGCCTTGCAAACAACAGCTGATTGAGATGGACTCCACGATTTCATCGTGTTCTCGTCCAATCTGCGTATGGGCCATGGCGTTGATCCAACTTTTCCTTCTTTTTAAGTCATTTGGAAATGCATGTCCTCCTTTTAAATGACATCCAGGTACACAACAACAAGTACTTGGCATCGTTAATTAAAAATGTAACTATAATAGTTGCATAGTGCAGATCAGTGCAGAAACCGGAAGTTGAGGAACAGGATCGGCTACCATGGCGCCACCTATTCAGGAACGATAATTTGCTACTTTATATAACTGCCAAATAACAATAACGTTAGACGGGTTCACGTGCATAAACAGAAATGGGCTTTAAATTGTATAATATAATTCATGTTCAGTCGACCTTTAATTATTATATCAACTACTGAAATGATTTATAAACATCTAGATTGCAGATAACACTCGAAATTAACCCGACCTCTTTCCACCCGGAATTCAAATAATTCTAGTTTGTCAATCGGTTGACTGCTTATAATGCAAAATACAAATATATCAAAAGTTTTTAAAACTAACAAAATACAATGATCGTTTCTCTATTTCCCAATGTAAATGAAATGAAACAAAAAACATTTTATATCACAATAAGAAGAGGAGAGAATTCAACATTTCCGGATCTACTTGGAGCCTAATGACCCCCCACGTAGATAAGTTGGATATCGCGGAAGGAAAGATTAACCCGGCAACCAGAAAGGCATTAAAGCACTGCCTTTAAAAATGCTTGTTTTTTGCCCCTTTTTGGCCCCTAATTCCTAAAATTTTAAGGCAATTACTCCCAAAATCAATCCAAACATTCCCGTTGTGATATGGAACATTGCAGTACAATTTCACAGAGATCCATACACTTGAACACAAGTTATTGTCCTTAAACTAGAAAAATGCTTATTTTTGGCCCCTTATTCTTAAACGTTTTGGGCAATTACCCCCAAACTCACTTCCAGCTTTCCCTTTGTGATATGGAACCTTGTAGTACAATTTCAGAAAGATCCATAGACTAACACACAAGTTATTGTCACGAAATTAGAAAAATGCTTGTTTTTTGCCCCTTTTTTTGGCCCATAATTCCTAAAATTTTGAGGCAATTACCCCCAAAATCAATCCAAACATTACCTTTGAGATATGGAACATTGTGGTACAATGTCAGAAAGATCCATACACTAACACACAAGTTATGTCTGGAAGTTACGAAAATGCTTATTTTTGGCCCCTTTTTCCTGAACTGTTGGTACCATGACCCCCAAAATCAATCCCAACCTTCCTTTTGTGGTATTGAACGTTATGGTAAAATTTCATAGAGATCCATTCACTTAAACTAATGTTAGAGTGCGAAAACCAATGTTTCTACGGATGACGACGACGGACGACAACGACGCCAACGTCATACCAATATACGACCACAAAATTTTTATATTCGTATAAAAAGAAGAGAAAAAGAGGTGACAACATGATGACTTTTTCATTCTAGTAAGAATTTCAAATTTCCAAAATGGAAAAACAAGTTCAAATTAATGAATCTAAACATAAGCCTCAGGTTAGAGGTAAATTGATCTAAGCATACTTTAGTTAGTACATGATATCTGCAAAAATTGCCTTAAATCTGACGATCAAAGTCCCATAACTTTGGAAGGACAAATCAATTTTGAAGACTGAAAGTAGGATTTCTATGTATAATTTGAGACTTTTGTCGCAGGCCTGGGAGATAAACATACAAATATTTATATTTTTCACTTACCATATTCCATTCTTTCTTTACCATTGTCTTTCCTCCATTTGTCAATGTTTTTAAAATGCTATATAAAAACAAAGAAACTAGAATAAAACATGAGTTTTTACATTACAGCTGAAACTATTCACCAACTTAACTAGGGGCTGCTCGGAGTCTGAATAACTCCTGTGTCAAAAATATGCAGTATTGATATTCATCCTTCTCTATCAATTGTTTTTCTGTTAACAAACCATTTATTTACAAAAAATCGAGTTTAGAGTGTGCTCTTCTAAAAATCAAGACTAATACTTTAAAAGTTGTTTTTTTGTACAGGATCAACAAATGTGCACAGGCTAAACTCTCGTGCTTGCTTTACTGATTCGGACTGAATTCTATATTGAAATTCATTGCCATAAATGTCTTAACTAACCTGATCATGAAATCATAACATTGATCAATAAACTAGGAAAACAGGGGTTGAAACTTTTTTTGGCCAGACCAGAGACTAGAATTTTTAAACCATATGACTTAGCCAAGCTACACACTTAACCTAAAAATTCAAATGATCACTGAAATCAGGCAAAGCCATATGATACCTGTTAGACATATACATACTCCTTGCAACCAATCCAGTTTTGTTGTCTGCTCTATGGTCGGGTTGTTGTCTCTTTGACACCATCCCCATTTCCATTCTCAATTTTATTCAAATATTTTCAACAATGTTAAGTTACTCATGATGAGCAGATCAAATCATGAAAAAACTAAACCAGATCAATGGACCATGAAACTGAGGCCACGGTAAACAATTGATCATCATGAACATGAACTTCCTTTATATATATTATAGGTTATTTAAAGTGTGTTTACACCCTCTTCTAACATCAATTGGTTAATGACCTATATATGAAACTTTTGTTGCAGGTGAGACAAAACAGGACAACACAGTTCTTTTTTAAATATAAATTCAGAACTTTAACTGGTGATCTTTGACCAGGTTCATATAATTAACATATCAATTACCTGTAATACATCTGTGTCTCCAAACAGAACAATATAAACCTGTTTTAAGTATGTAGGATTTGTTCTTTCATAATCATCAACAGCAGCAAACATTGTCTTGGCAACAAAACATGGAGGATATCCTAACTTGCCTGTTCCCAAAGCAGGAAAAGCAATGGAAGTCATTTTCCTCTCTTCAGCTTCATTCATACATCTTATCATGATGTTCTTAAGAATCTATAACAAAAAATTTAAAACTTGCCTCAAATAATATTATGCTACAAATAGAGGTACAATGTCAATAGCAGCCATTATTTGACCCTTAAAATTACAAAAATAATAAAATTGCTCCTTGAACTCAAGTTTAATGGCAAATGATGAGGGCGATAATGATGATATAGTCAGGCTATTCAAATGCAGAAACTTTGTTGTGTAAGTCATATCTTATCAAATTTAGACTCCTATGAGCCTGAATCATTCACCTGGTAAAAATATGTAACATTAACAATCACTAGCAACAGTGGCATCCATCTTTCAAATACTATGACTCATTAGGTTTGATCGAGATCAACTTTAAGAATTTTTTAAACAAGAGTGCAAAACATTAGCTTTACTGATCATGATTGAATGTTATGTTGAAAGAGTCCAAGATTTTACTATAAACACCACATTAACCTTACATTATTAATGCTCTATGAAAAGGAGGTCAATTTAAAATGAACCCTATCTAAAGGACATATACAGTTAAAATCATTCTATACACAAATTAAAGTTAACCTATCTGAAAAACTGACCTAACCATGAAAACTTAATATTGACCAATGAACCCTAAAATGAGGTCATTGTCAGATATATGCTGCCAGACTTGTTCACCTTTAAATATCCAAAGATATGAAGTATCCATGTCCTCTACCTAATAAAAAATAAAGCTTTACACTGCAAAAAACTAGAGTTCATTTATCAGTAAAATACTGAAAATTAAAAAACAATATTTTCTAAACATTGCTCTCGCGGTACTAGTATTAAAGGAACCCCTGGAATTTCAAAACCTCTCGTTGTTCACCAACTTATTATGCAACTATGAATGAAGAAGATTTAGTGAGACTTTTTATAAATAAGAATGTTTTCTTTAATTGACTCAAGTTTCAATGCTTAACACTGCCAAATTGGTAAAATTAACAAATAAACTGTTGACATATAGACATATTTCGCCTATATGTAATTTACACTTGTAATTTTTGGGGCCCTTTATAGCTTGCTGTGCGGTGTGAGACAAGGATCCGTGTTGAAGACTGTGTTTTGACCTATAATGGTTTACTTTTATAAATTGTGACTTGGATGGAGAGTTGTCTCATTGGCACTCATACCACATCTTCTTATATCTAATACATGACAACTATGCAAACATCCAAAGTCAATAGACCATGACTGAGGGGGCAGGGCAAAATAACTTGCATTGAATTGAGATGTGCCAATTCTTACACAACTGCATACCAATTATCATTAAACTTCCACTAGTGGTTCACCATGAACTGACCTAATCACAAACTACTCTTTGTTGACGCTGCTGCCATTGCCGGTAACATCACGTCTAAGCTTAAGTCTCGTATTTTTTTACAAAAATTTGTGCACTAGATATATTTTCTATATAGTAACAAGTCTAAATTGAAAACAATGTTCAAACCTATGCACTGAGATATTGGTCAATAAATAATAATGATATTTTTTGCTAGAAATAGGGGCCTTATGGAACTTCTCCTTATTTAATTTTTATTAACATATATAGTTGGTCTGCCTATACAGAAGAAAAAGCAACTGAATCAGGGTTTGCTGAGTAATAATGATATTGTGCTTAACTATTATTAATAGGATTTGTGTAGCCTCATTAGGACATACAAGATTTGACAGTAGGAGTAAGCTATAGCTAAGAAACTCTGTTGTACTTTAAACTAAAACATGTGATTGAAATGAATGCTTTTAAAACAATTTGAAGCAGAAAAAAAAATGACTACAATTCTTCTGAATTAAAAACTAGAGACTCTCAAGAGCCTGTGTCGCTCACCTGATTCTACTTTGGTTTTGGAAATCATGTAAAAATAGATTAAAATCATAACAGATACCCTAATAATGAGTGAGGCCAAAATTGGTTTAATATTGGTCCTGTAATTTAATAAAAAATCCTGGTGGCCATCTTGAACAGTAAATCGGCAACAAAGTAGCAACAATTCATCAGCACCTCATAAGAAACATTTATGACATGTTTGGTTTCATTCCATTCAGTGCACCTCTAGAAGAAGCATTTGTATGTATTTCCCATAGGGTCTTATGTTAAAGGAAGTCCCCCCCGCTGGCGGCCATCTTGGATGAAGGATCAGCTTTAAAGTAACAACACTTAGTCAGCACCTCATAAGGAACATTCATGCCATGTTTGGAATCAATATATTCAGTACGTGGTTCTCTAAAATAAGACATTTGTATGTATTGTCCATAGGGTCCTTTGTTAAACATTGTCCCCCAGCTGGCGGCCATCTTGGATGATGGATCGGCTTCAAAGTAACAACACTTGGTCAGCGCTTCATAAGGAACATTCATGCCATGTTTAGTTTTATTCCATTCAGTGGTTCTTTAAAAGAAGACATATGTATGTATTTCCCATAGGGTCCTATGTTAAACTAAGTCCCCCGCTGGCGGCCATCTTGGATTATGGATCGGCTTCAAAGTAACAACACTTGGTCAGTACCTCGAAAGGAACATGCATGCCATGTTTGGTTTCATTCCATTTAGTAAGTTCTCTAAAAGAAGACATTTGTATGTATTTCCCATAGGGTCCTATGTTAAACTAAGTCCTCCACTGGCGGCCATCTTGGATTATGGATCGGCTTCAAAGTAACAACACTTGGTCAGCACCTCATAAAGAACATTCATGCAATGTTTGGTTTCATTCCATTCGGTGGTTCTCTAAAAGAAGACATTTGTATGTATTTCCCATAGGGTCCTATGTTAAACTAAGTCCCCCACTGGCTGCCATCTTGGATGATGGATCGGCTTCAAAGTAACAACACTTGGTCAGCACCTCATAAAGAACATTCATGCCATGTTTGGTTTCATTCCATTCTGGGGATCTCTAAAAGAAGACATTTGTATGTATTTCCCATAGGGTCCTATGTTAAACTAAGTCCCCAGCTTGCGGCCATCTTGGATTATGGATCGGCTTCAAAGTAACAACACTTGGTCAGAACCTCATAAGGAACATTCATGCCATGTTTGGTTTCATTCCATTCAGTTGTTCTCTAAAAGAAGACATTTGTATGTATTTCCCATAGGGTCCTATGTTAAACTAAGTCCCCTGCTGGCGGCCATCTTGGATGATGGATCGGCTACAAAGTAACAACACTTGGTCAGCACCTCATAAGGAACATTCATGCCATGTTTGGTTTCATTCCATTCAGTGGTTCTCTAAAGGAAGACATTTGTATGTATTTCCCATAGGGTCCTATGTTAAACTAAGTCCCCAGCTGGCGGCCATCTTGGATAATGGATCGGCTTCAAAGTAACAACACATGGTCAGCACCTCATAAGGAACATTCATGCCATGTTTGGTTTCATTCCTCAGTGGTTCTCTAAAAGAAGACATTTGTATGTATTTCCCATAGGGTCCTATGTTAAACTAAGTCCCCTACTGGCGGCCATCTTGGATGATGGATCGGCTACAAAGTAACAACACTTGGTCAGCACCTCATAAGGAACATTCATGCCATGTTTGGTTTCATTCCATTCAGTGGTTCTCTAAAAGAAGACATTTGTATGTATTTCCCATAGGGTCCTATGTTAAACTAAGTCCCCTACTGGCGGCCATCTTGGATGATGGATCGGCTACAAAGTAACAACACTTGGTCAGCACCTCATAAGGAACATTCATGCCATGTTTGGTTTCATTCCATTCAGTGGTTCTCTAAAATAAGACATTTGTATGTATTGTCCATAGGGTCCTTTGTTAAACATTGTCCCCCAGCTGGCGGCCATCTTGGATGATGGATTGGCTACAAAGTAACAATACTTGGTCAGCACCTTATAAGGAACATTCATGCCATGTTTGGTTTCATTCCATTCAGTGGTTCTCTAAAAGAAGACATTTGTAAATATTTCCCATAGGGTCCTATGTAAAACTAAGTCCCCCGCTGGCGGCCATCTTGGATTATGGATCGGCTTCAAAGTAACAACACTTGGTCAGCACCTCAAAAGGAACATTCATGCCATGTTTGGTTTCATTCGATTCAGTGGTTCTCTAGATGAAGTTCTAAATGTAAAAAGTTAATGACGACGACGGACGACGACGGATGACAAAGGATGACGGACGACGGACGCCAAGTGATGAGAAAAGCTCACTTGGCCCTTTGGGCCAGGTGAGCTAAAAAGTACAATGTACTTCTTATCAAAATATTTATTTTTTTGTGTGTGAGAATTTTAGCAAATTTACACTTTTGATGTAACACTTAAACAATTAACATGGAATAAAATTCAGAATGGAAATGGGGAATGTGTCAAAGAGACAACAACCCGACCATAGAGCAGACAACAGCCGAAGGCCACCAATGGGTCTTCAATGCAGCGAGAAACTCCCGCACCCGGAGGCGTCCTTCAGCTGGCCCCTAAACAAATATGTATACTAGTTCAGTGATAATGGACTTCATACTAAACTCCAAATTATACACAGGAAACTAAAATTAAAAATGATACAAGACTAACAAAGGCCAGAGGCTCCTGACTTGGGACAGGCGCAAAAATGAGGCGGGATTAAACATATTTTTTGAGATCTCAACCCTCCCCCTATACCTCTAGCCAATGTAGAAAAAACAAACGCACATTCTTTTACTATTCATTATTTGTCTTTTTAAAGACTGCTATGTGTCAATCAGATTGGTGAGATTCCCTAAAACATTTAACCAACTTACTTCAACAGAAATATTTCCATCAGAAACCCAGTACACATACAATGCCACATGAAAAATCTTTTTACATTTCATATTCCCTGGAGAAGTGATGGCAATTTCTCCAATATTGATGCCTTTTTTGTAGGTTTTATTACATTCGTCTTGAACAACATTACCAGCTATCTTCAGTAGTTTTTTGGACACAATCCCATTGCTCAGATCGAGTAGAGCACCAACAGAATTGACTAAGACATCAACCTAGAAAAAGGGAAGAATAATTTGTTATATACAATGATGCATATTTATAATGTCTAGATATGAAAAAAGTCAACATTCTAATGAAGGTGTCTAATTGTAACGAAATAAAAAGAGTACACATATAATATATAGACCAGAAAAACTTTGTTGACAAATTTGTTAGTTGAAATTAGATTTCAAACTAGGTTCAGTAACTCCGAGTACTCTTTGCCATTTTGCAAGGTATTTTTTATCCATACTATTCGATGACACAGGCTCATTACAACCCTTTTTCAGGTTGTCTAATGTAGTACTGTACCACCTGTTGCCAGATAAGCACAGGCACTTGTCTTCGAAAAAAAAAAATATACCTATATACTAGGGCTTCCAAAATTTTCTGATGGCAGCCGAACATTTTTCAAGGAAATATTTTTGACGGTCAATGATCAGCTGGATACTTAAATGTAACTGAGAGGAGGCATAATTTGATATATGTGTTTTAATAATGTCTAGTTAATAGATTAGTGTTATATGCAATAAAATTATTTACAACTGTGTTGTTTTCATCATTCTAAAAATAAATATCCTCGGTATTGTGTCATTTTTCTGTGTATTGTAACCATCAATCAGCTTCAGTACCTGACTCTTCTCATGTTTTTTTCTATTTATATAATCTTCTCTCTATGAGTAAAACACTTTGTAAATTAAGAACATCTTATTTTAAACTGTTGATGTTGGCTTTAATTGCAATTAAACTTGATCACCAATACACATGATACATTTCTTTTTTGTTTTGATTATCTGAACACGTGACTTTCACAACTGAAGTGTTATTTATAGATAACACTTAGGAGGCCCAATGAAGGAAAGTGTTTTACAAATGTTTTAGATAACAATTAAACTGTGTAAAATCTAATGAACAGTGATATAATGTTTTTCTTTGTACAATTTCCCAAAGCTGATTTAGAAAATAAGAAATAAATAAAAAACAGATACTCAGTTGATAATGAATTCAATGAATAACAACATGCTATTTTATGTATAAGCATATAACAACAATAAAATATCAAAAGAGCACAATGTTGACAAACACATGCAAGCAATAAATATGACAATGAACACATTGAAAAGAAATACAATTCACAGCACAAGATCAGAGTTCATTTAGTCTAATTTAAGATTTTACATTCATGAGCTTGCTAAATGCATTGGTCTGATAAACATGGCGGTTACGAACAGACTGCCATTGGCGGATAGCAGGAACAGGGTCGAAGTCCTTAACATCTACACCTACTAAGCTGATCCTCATAAGTTGATCCAAAGCATCAATACCTAGACTACACCGTAGTTTTGTCTTTATAATGTTCTGTCTTGAAAAACCCCTTTCACATTCAACACTTGAAACCAGCAATACACGTGAAACTTCCATTAGCGAAATTGCATTTGGGAACTGGTCTTTTCTGGAAATAATTGCAGTCAACAAACCGGCAAACAAAGTCCCTTGTAGTTGTAGAAAATCAAATACTTTAGTATGCCCCATTCTATTTGTAGTTCTTCTTTGTTGACTATACTATAATGGTCTCCAAGACACTCTAACTGTTGTTCACCATAGCGAGGAAGGTCACCAACACTACTAGGAAAGTTCGACTGTTCAAATATATAGAATGCTTTGAAAATTTTGCTGTCAGGAAATCAGTCACCAATATTGTCATGTATGATTTGGGCACATTGCACGGCTCTCGTCTTAAAATGAATATCACGTTGGTTACGCTTAAAGATGATAGTGTTGTAGCTATCAGATTGGTCTGTTGATTTGAAAAATTCAGCACATAATGGTCCAAATGAAGGAAGCTCAGTTTAATACTCAGCCTCTATTGCCATGAGAAAAGAGTCAAATAGTTGTTTTACGGTGGCATACGAAGAGTCACGTTTCTGAAGCGATTTACTTAGCTGATATATTTATCCAAACAGGTTGGATAAAAAGTAGAGCATGAAAAAGAACTTGTATGTTGTCATACTGTTGTGTAGAGAACTTGCCAGGATGTCGCTGTCACTCCGGTCACCTAGCATATTTACAATGTAAACGATAGAACGGCAGAGATTGTCTTAAGCGTTTCCCATAGAAAGCCAGCAGACTTTATGAATGTCAAGCGGATTTAACAATGGATCATCTATTATAAGTTGCCATGATCGTAGTTCGGCAAGGTTTGTGGTTGAACGTTTGTAATATGAATATACAGTACTAACAATGCTTTCCAAAAATTTAATGTCAGGAATTTCTTTTGCCGTGTCGACACAGGCTAATGCTAGATGATGAGCTACACAATGAACCTCTATTAAGTATGGAGGAGTGTCTTTTAAAAGCTGAGATACACCACCATGCTTTCCTATTATAACACGCCTACTTCTATTGTCGTACTCACTTGTCAGGCCTTTCAATTAGGTCAACCATAAATTCTTTCGTCTTTTCACAGCCAAATGGCACTGTTAATCTAGTATTGAAGGTAAGGGAGAGGGTTGAGCACTCAAAAACATTCTCTAGGTGTATGTCACAAGCAGGATACCTGAGGTCCATTGCTGTGTGCAATACCGGGTAATTGTTTTATTTTCTTTTGATGTTGGCTTAAAATCAAGACTTGGTTTTTTCTTTTGAAACATACTCACATTTCATTATCCAAGGACTTAAGGCTGATAACAAAATCAATATTAATACCAATTAGAGTTAATTTTTTAATTTTCTATTCATGAGCCTATAAACAATGTTTGAACTAGGTTTTCCCACTAGTTGTTTGAGTTGGCAAAGGCACTGGACATAAGGCAGGAAATGCTGCTGTTAAGGTTATACTAGCTTTAGTTTTATATTGCTTGTAAAATTAAATAAATTTGCAAATACAAAAATCCTGTCATAAAATAGTTGGACTGTGAATATGTATTAATATCCGACCTAGAAAAAAGTCTCGAAATAATCCAGAAGACATTAAAGATGCAAATGTAACATCTTCCTATAAAATTCAAGAAACTTGTTAATTTTTAAACACCAAACACTCAAAATTTCAAAGTAAAAAAAAAATTGATTTCTGCTAAACAAAATATTAACCTATCAATTATCATGATTATCAAGAAATATCTCACCTTGGTATCATAATCAAGTATGGAACCTTGTTCTACTAATACTTTTATTGACTGCTTTTCTTCTGTAACAAACAAGTAATAAAATAGTTACATGCCACCCCTTATGTAGAGAAGCCCATCATACTTAGCAAATTTGAAATTCCTGTCTTTTCATTACAAAATTCAACTGAAGAAAAAGTAGGAAAGCTCATTTACAACCTCCCAAAAATATAATTTGAATTTGAGATCAAGAATTTAAGAAATTGTAATCACAGATCAAAATGGTTGCCTAAAATTGTATAATTCGTTATCTCAGATTAAATTTGTGAAAAGGAATTTGAGGATTGAAAAGTATTCTAGACAATTGTGGATTCCAAAACACAATGCCTAACATTCAATCAGTAATCAAAGAAAGACTGGAATTGCAATTTACATAGTCATGGTCAGGAAAAGTAAACAATTCACCAAAAACTCTGAACTATCGCCTATACAAGACATCACACAATTTCGAACATTACCTTATCATACTTAATGATAAAGATTTAATTACACTGTCAAGATTCAGGACAATGAACCATAAGCTACTGATCGAAAATTGTAGATGGCAAAATATACCACGAGAACAGAGAAAGTGTCCATTGTGCAAAGTTGATATCAGTGATGAATACCACTATTTAATGGAATGTTACAGTATACAGACAGATAGAAATCTACTAATTGACAGGAAATACTTATCGAACTGTAATGTTTTATAATTTAAAGCAGAGAAAGTATCCATTGTGCAAAATTAATATTGGTGATGAATACCACTATTCAATGGAATGTAACAGTCTACGGACAGATAGAAAACTACTTATTTACAGGAAATACTTATCAAACAGTAAAGTTTTAAAATTTAAAGCTATCATGAATCAAAACAGCAATCAAAACTTCGAAAAAAATGTGCCAATTTATTCGAATTATAAATGACAAACTGGATTCTATCTGATGTTTAAATTTGGCTGTGCTGCTCTTGATACCTTAATTATAATGTAACTCATTTTATATGTTTCCTCAACAAATGTACAACCCAATGTAATGTAAAATAATATGTTTTTTCTTCATACCTTAGTTCAGCTTAGGTGATGTACCAGAACAAAATGATATATAATAAAATAGGAATAAGTTATCACAAGATTTCTGAAATTTGTGATCAGTTTTAATTCTTTACCACAGATTGTTTTATTTCATGATGTCAATTTAAAAAAATCATGATCAGAGATTAAAATAGTTAAAACTAATTTTTGTAATTTGTAAAAAAAAATGAATTAAAACATTTTTCACAGATTTTCAGATTAAATCTGTGGTAACAAATTCCCAAAATTGTGATGACGATTTCTAAAATTCTTGATAATTAATTTAATCCATTATCACAAATTATAAAAATTTATAAAATTTGTGATAAAAAAATTTTAAAATCTGTGACCATAGATCACAAAATATATAGAATTCAATTCCTATATATTCATTATCCCGAATTATACAACTCATGATAAAGATTTTATAAGTGATAAACAAATTTTAATTTGTGTTGATTTTTTAGATTCATTATCTCAAATTCAAATTATATTTATAAAAGAACCAGTCCTAAATGGATTTCTATACAAAAGACACATATTTGTTTTGTCAGAAATGTTGCCTATTTTTCGCTAAATTTTGGAATTTAGTGGGAGACATCGTTTAACTTTTTTAAATGTTAGGAATGATTTTCCTGCAAAATATGAGATGACAATTTGGGAAACACATTTTCTAGAACAATTATTAGATTTTCTCAATAGACCACTTTCGACTTATGTCCTTCACCAGAAAAGTTCATCAGTTTTGTGCGCCTTTGTGACGTCATTTACCAGATAGAGGGGATCGCCTGTATCCCTGCTCTATAAAAGTTCATCAAGCTTCTTTGTGATCGTCATTATGCAGGATAAACTAGATATAATATTTGTTCCGTAGGTACTTAATCACAATTCCATAATGAAATCAGTGCTGAATATCAATGATAAGAATTTAATTTGCCATATAATTCGTGCAATATAGCATTATCATTTTTTTTAACCTATTGCTCAACATAGGAACGGAAGTGACAACGCCCCTAAACGCATGAATGATGTTCACTAAAACCAAACTTTTTGACGGAAATGCAACGAACTTGAAAGTTGTCTATTGGCGTGGTCACACATATATATAATGTATTGATTTCAAAATACTCAGTGTAAGCTAGCTCATATGAAAATGATTATACAAGAACATTTTAAAATTGCCCAATAGAGATGGGCAAGTGTAACTTATTTTAGCATGTACCAGTAATACCAATATTCAATCAGGTTTTGACATAAATGAAAACTGTTGACCTTTTTTTTAATTTTTGCTTGGTGCACGTTCATCAGAGCTTCTCTATATTTACAAAAATTCTCAATTTTATCTCTCATTAATTCACAAAACAGGCACGTTAACCTGTTATATTTTATGATTTTTCTAAATTTTTCAAATTGATCTTCAACATATCTCAAAATCATATCATAAAAATGACAATACACTGTAAAACTGTATAGCCTCCCCTTGAAGACATATATTCACCTTGACATTGTAAAGGCTCTGCTGTAATAGGAAGCAAATGCTTATCAATCTTCAATTTGTCACATAGGTACTGGTCGAGACTATCAAAGTCGTCCACTGCACCAAAGCAATACACCACAACTGGACACTTCAATTTAGATCTGGAACTCCATAAACAAGACAACAATGTGAATGAGAACATTTTCCATTCCATGCTTGTTTTGTAGCTCAGCGATATCCCAAAACTTCTAAAACCACTTGTTTCTAAAGTGTTGATAACTTCTGCTGCTACTTTCTGATCAAGAGAATCAGAGTGACCTTTCAAATTTTTATCAAGAACAGTTAAAAGTAAACAGTGGCAGTTTAGGTTTTCTGGATCATACAGTCGTTCTACATCACCTTTCTGAAGCTTTTTCTCAGATGCTTTTGGGAGAAGTCTGTCAAGCCTTTCCTTGTTTAGACCTTAAATGGAAATATAGTAAAATAAATTAACATGATTGTTTGTTGTTTGGTTAATATCCACTGGCAAAAATTTTATGCATGTTCAAGACAAAATAATTTTTATATCTAATAGGACTAATATCAAATGCACTATACTGTTTAATAATAATGTAGGCCATAAAAATGATAAACTTGAAGAACACCATCAATTAACTATAGTCTGACAGTTTACGAAACCTGTTAAGAAAACAATTGTTCCAGATATTTTATGACTTTTCTTAATCTAAGAGAGTATCAAATGAGTTAGAATTGTTTATCTTGTTTTTTACTTTAAAAAAATCAGCTGATATATTTTTGTGCAAAGAGTTTGACATTTCTATTCTGTTTGTTGTCATGCTCAGCCTCAGAAGGGATTTATTGGCCATGATTTCTGCAAAATAGTAAAAATTCAAGACTAAATAAATTTTCTTAAGTAATCACTTTTTCATTTTATGTGTGCATACCCTACCTATGATATCTGTTGCCCTGTAGATGTCTTTGGGGTATTTTGTCAATGGGTTGCCATCTCATTGACATATACCCCACATTTCTTTTTATTCATAATTTTTTTAATTTCTAAATCAGTTAAATTGAGAATGGAAATGGGGAATGTGTCAAAGAGACAACAACCCCACCAAAGTAAACTATATTTTCAAATTAAAATTTCACACAAAGCTGGTTTAATGGTGTTAAATAAAGCAGAGATATAATATGTTTTATCATGTGACATTTTCTATGCAGGGGAATTAGGCAAATTGAAAGATGTTACTAGCTTAAAGTAGATTTCCACTTAAAAGGCAACATTACTTTACTTAATCCTTCATCCTGATGAACACTTATGGTCAGGTGACTTACCCCTAAATTGTAATCTTATTTCAAATTAACAAAATAAAAACCAAATTAAACTAAGAATTTTATATAAACTGTTGACACAGAGATATGTCTCACCTTTTTTTAATTTTGATAGTATAATGCATAGATTGAATCCAAATAGCAATATTTCAACATATTAACTATGCAAAACATTTTAAAGTCGATGAACCATAACTTAAGGTGCAGGAACAAATAATCTCATTGGAAATGAGAAATGCCAGTACTTGTAATACCAAATACTATTGACTTATCATAAGTGGTTCCCTAAACACTAACCTAAACACAAACTTTAAGTTATAAACAATGTAAACATCATGGTAATTAAAAGTTTCAAAAGGCAATGAACCTTGATTAGGGGCATGCCAAATAATCTCCATGGAAAAGAAGACTTGAAAATGCTAATATTATCATTGACTTAAAATTAGTGGTTCGTCTTTCAAAACTAATCTGATCTCAAACATTTACAGGTACAAACTATGCAAAACATGCAAAGTCCATAAAACATGACTGAGAGGTGGTGCCAACCTATCTCCATGTAAATGAGATGTGTCAATGCAAATAGAACTGCATACCAAATGTCAGGGAAATAACACTAGTGCTTTCCTTTATTAAACTGACATATAGCTAACCATGCACAAACTAATTAATACATGTTAAGTAAGCAAAAGTTTCAAAGTCAATAAACCATGACTGAAGGGGTGGGGCCAACTTATCTAATGGAAACCTAAGGTGTGCCAATGCTAATACAACTCACATAACAACTGCATACCCAATATTATTGACCTACCACTAGTGGTTCCCCATAAACAGACCTAATCACAAACTAATACATTGTTGACCTCGCTGATGCCAAAGCTGTCGGAAACAGCATACTGAAGTCTCGGTTTTTGACTCCGTCAAGGTGAGACAAAAATTGAATAGAAATGTTTTACAAACCTCCCATCAATGCTTCAGAATCAAATCCTATAGGTACCAATTCCTTATTGACTGGACAGAGAATGATATCAGCTTCAATTGTGTTCAATGTTCCACTCATAAACAAAATGTTCAACTGATTATCAGTTTTGGCAATCCATCCTGATTTTAACACTGGTTTGTGACATGGTTCAACCACTATCATACATTTTTTGTCCTTCTTCAGTCCTTCCCATTCTTGTAGGATACATTCACCAATTACAGGCTTTCCAGCAGAAGAGAAACCATCCATCACTGTGAATTTCTCTGCTAAACTGTAAAGCTCCTGTTCTGCAGAAGCTATATTTGCTTGTTTTCTGCTCAAATCCATTTTAGTTGTACCTTCACAAGAAACATCATACTTTCCACATATTCCATCCAACTTTTTACATTCATATTTCTCTAAATATTTTATTTTGGCCGATTCTATCTTCAAAGGAACTTTAATAAATTTTTTATCAGATGCTTTATTTACAGGATCATAGTCAGGAATAGGATCACCATTCTCATCATAATTATCCTTAGAAGATCCTGCAGATTTTTTATTTTTTTCCCGAGTATCTGGTTGACTTGCGGAAGTATTTCGTGTGTTACCAGTACCACCAGACCCTGCTGCTATACTTTTTGCTGAGTTTGTTGAACCTTGCTGATTTGGATTTGGTGCTTGTGACTTTCTTTCTTTTGCAGATTTGTTACCAGCATTTGCTTTTTGAAAATATTGGTCATGGATATCTTGAGTGGTATAAACTACTAATTCCTTCCTGTCAGTTGTAGAACTAGTTATCAATCTTGAACTATTACTTTTGATTAGATTCTGATTTTTTTCAGATTGGCTTTCCTCCATAGAAAATCTTATTTCTTTGATACATCCTTTAATCTGTTTTAATTTTTCAGAAGCATCTTTCTCACTCAATGCATAAACTATCAAATTATCCTCAGTCAGTACTACATCAATTCCCCAAGCTACTGATATTTTTGGAATATCAAGTTTCAAGTCAATGAAAGACATCACATCTTCCATAGTCAGTAAACTTGCCATTGATTTGGTCACTCTGCTTGTTGCACTTTTTATTTTACCGAACTGTTCTTCCACTTTCTGTTTTATTGGTTTAATACTTTTTTCATCAGGACCTGCAATAACAACTTGACCCCCGTCCATAAAAAGTTTTACATGCTTTAATTTAAGGTCAGTAAAATATTTTGATTTTCTAAAACATTCAACTTCTTTAGGGTGGCGTGTAAAAACTTTTTTCACAGGAAAATCACTTTCTTTTATGGAGACAGACTTTGGTCTTTGCTGGGGTGTCTGAGAAGCTTGTCTTCTTGAACCAGCGTTATTTTGACCTATAACAGATATAAACAAATATTTAAAATTTCAAAAGAAATCTTTAACTTGGAAATATCAAGATCAATTTTCATTTATTTCATATCTAATAATCTATTTCAGTTTTTTAAAACATATTAGCCAAAAATGCAATAATGGTCAGTAATTCCTATAAGGAGTAGATTAATGATTTTAGTCATGTTTGACATTAGAACATCCTACCTTGCTATTCATTTTCACATCTTATGTTTACTTTTCTTTTTAAGATGCTGTTTCATCTTAAATCATACAGCATTTCATGAAAATTGCAATTATTAATCTAACATTTACAGTACTTGCAACCTTAGGCGTTACTGTTTGACGTGAACTTGACTGATCGGTGAATGATCGGTGACGGATGTTTGACTGATCGATGACTGATCGGTGATCGATGACCCATAGAATCCGTCAGATACGTCAAATAGGCTATGTGAGAGTTACCGTGACAACGGTCAGCGATCGATCAGTAAATTAATTGTATGCACGGATCGGACGGATACGTATATAATTAAAATCCTTATGTAAAACGAACTCCACAGTATTTACAGTCGATAAACGCGGACCTCTACGAAGACACCTTTACTCGTTAATTATGTACCACTAAAAAGCGATAAAATGTTATCGTTTAAAATAAGTACTCTATTTGTTGTCGTTAGATGATAAAAATAAAAATAGTAGAACAGTTAAGATACATACAGCTTTGTTTGGATTAATTAATTTAGAGTGTTGTTTTAATTTTTGTTCTAGATTACCAATATTTCTTCTTCTTATAACATATAATGCAATGTTATTTCTGATTAGTTATTTGAAAGGCCTCAAGAAAAGTTTCTTTGATAGAATTTAAAAAAAATAAGTATTAAAATACTTAAACTTTAATTTGTGTTGATTAAAGATGCAATCATTTCATTATTTTGTACTTTTTGTACATCAGGATTGGTCGTTTTTCATAAAATATGCTGAATTTCAGGAAAAGATACTAAATTTTTGTTCAAGTTGCTTAAAAATGCAAATATTTCTTCTTTTATATCAGAAATAATGCAGGTCAATTGCAATCAGTCATAATTAATGCATTCAGATAATTAATTTTGTATAAGATATGAATAATTTAAGGATAAATATACATACTTTTTTGTTTTTATTAAATAAGAATTCAATAATTTCTCTTTTTTAATGGAGGTTATTGGAACGCCTATGGTTTTTTGTACTTATTATGGTTCAGGATTGGTTGTTTTTTATAAAATCAAAATAATATCTGAGAAAATATACTAAAATATTGTTTGCATTGTTTAAAATTACCAATTTTTCTTCTTTTGATAAAACATAATGCAATGTTATTTGTAGCTAGTTATTTCAAACTGAGACTACTATAACACATAGTAGTCTCAGTTTCAAAGTTCTCCAATAAGATTTTTTTTGTAAGAATTTTGATAATGTAAGGAGAATTTTACTTAAACTTTTGTTTTGTGTTGAATACAAATTAAATAATTTCTTTATTTTGATAGATATTATGAACCGTCATTTGATTTCGGTACATTTTGTACATCAGGATTGGTTGTTTTTCATAAAATATGCTGAATTTCAGGGAAAAGATACTAAATTTTTGTTCATGTTGCTTAAATATGCAAATATTTCTTCTTTTATATCAGAAATAATGCAACTTCAATTGCAATCAGTCATAGTTAATGCATTCAGATAAGTACTTTGTATAAGATAAGAATAATTTAAGGATAAATATACATAAACTATTGTTTTTGTTAGATAAGACTTCAATAATTTCTCTTTTTTAATGGAAATTATTGAAACGCCTATGGTTTTTGTACTTTTTATGGTTCAGGATTGGTTGTTTTTTATAAAATCAAAATAATATCTGAGAAAATATACTAAAATATTGTTCGCATTGTTTAAAATTACCAATTTTTCTTCTTTTGATAAGAAATAATGCAATGTTATTTGTAACTAATTATTTCAAAGTTCTCCAATAAGATTTTTTTTGTAAGAATTTTGATAATGTAAGGAGAATTTTACTTAAACTTTTGTTTTGTGTTCAATACAAATTAAATGATTTCTTTATTTTGACAGAAATTATGAACCGTCATTTGATTTAGGTACTTTTTGTACATCAGGATTGGTTGTTTTTCATAAAATATGCTGAATTTCAAGGAAAAGATACTAAATTTGTGTTCGCGTTGCTTAAAAATACAAATATTTCTTTTTTCATATCAGAAAAAATGCAACGTCAATTGCAATCAGTCATTATAAATGCCTTTAGATAAGTAATTTTGTATAAAATGTGAATCATTGAAGGATAAATATGCATAAACTTTTGTTTTTGTTAGATAAGAATGCAATAATTTCTTTATTTTGATAGAAATTATGAACCGTAATTTGATTTTGGTTCTTTTTGTACATCAGGATGGGTTGTTTTTCATAAAATATTCTGAATTTCAGGGAAAAGATACTAAATTTTTGTTCGTGTTGCTTGAAAATGTAAATATGTCTTCTTTTGTATCAGAAATAATTCAACGCCAATTGCAATCAGTCATAATTAATGCATTCAGATAAGTTCTTTTGTATAAATTATGAATAATTTACTGATAAATATACATAAACTTTTGTTTTTGTTTGATAAAAATTCAAAATTCCTCTTTTTCAATTAAAATTATTGAGTGCCTATGGCTTTTTGTACTTTTTATGGTTTAGGATTGGTTGTTTTTTATAAAACAAAATAATATCTGAGAAAATATACTAAAATGTTGTTCACATTGATTAAAATTACCAATTTTTCTTCTTTTGATAAAAAATAATGCAATGTTATATGTAACTTGTAATTTCAAAGTCTTCCAATAAGATTTTTTTTGTAAGAATTTTGGTAATGTAAGGAGAATAATACTTAAACTTTTGTTTTGTGTTTAATACGAATGCAATAATTTCTTTATATTGATAGATATTATGAACCGTCATTTGATTCGGTACATTTTGTACATCAGGATTGGTTGTTTTTCATAAAATAAGCTGAATTTCATGGAAAAGATACTAAATTTTTGTTCGCATTGCTTAAATATGCAGATATTTCTTCTTTTATATCAGAAATAATGCAACTTCAATTGCAATCAGTCATTATAAATGCCTTTAGATAAGTAATTTTGTATAACATGTGAATCATTGAAGGATAAATATGCATAAACTTTTGTTTTTGTTAGATAAGAATGCAATAATTTCTTTATTTTGATAGAAATTATGAACCGTCATTTGATTTTGGTTCTTTTTGTACATCAGGATTGGTTTTTTTTCATAAAATATGCTGAATTTCAGGGAAAAGATACTAAATTTGTGTTAGCGTTTCTTAAAAATGCAAATATTTCTTCTTTTATATCAGAAATAATTCAACGTCAATTGCAATCAGTCATAAGTAATGCATTCAGATAAGTACTTTTATATAAGATATGAATAATTTAAGGATAAATATACATAAACTTTTTTTTTTTTAAATAAGAATTCAATAATTTCTCTTTTTTAATGGAAATTATTGAACGCCTATAGTTTTTTTTACTTTTTATGGTTCAGGATTTGTTGTATTTCATAAAATATGTTGAATTTAAGGGAAAAGATTATAAATGTAATGTTCGCATTGCTAAAAAATACAAATATTTCTTCTTTTATATTAGAAATAATGCAACGTCAATTGCTATCAGTCGTTATAAATGCCTTTATATAAGTATTTTTTAATAAAATGTGAATAAATGAAGGATAAATATGCATAAACTTTTGTTTTTGTTGAACAAGAATGCAATAATTTCTTTATTGAATGGAAATTATGGACTGTCATTAGATGTTTGTACTTTTCATAGTTTAGTATTGGTTGTTTTTTCATAAAAGTAAAAGAAGATCATAGAAAATATCCTTAAATGTTGTTCGCATTGTTTAAAATTACCAGTTTCTCTTGTTTTGTTAAAAAATAATGGAATGTTATTTGTAACTAGTTATTTCAAAGGCTTCAAGATTATTTTCTTTATAAGAATTTTAATATTGTAAGTAGAATAAGGCTTAAACTTTTGTTGGTGTTGAAAATGAATGCAATAATATTCATTTTGATAGAAATAATGAATCACCATTTGATTTCAGTACCTTTTGTACATCAGGATTGGTTGCATTTCATAAAATATGTTGAACTTAAGGGATCAGATACTAAATTTAATATTCACATTGCATAAAAATATAAATATTTCTTCTTTTATATCAGAAATAGTGCAATGCAATTGCTATCAGTCATTATAAATGCCTTTAGATAAGTAATTTTTAATAAAATGTGAATAAAGAAGGATAGATATGCATAAACTTTTGTTTTTGTTGAAATAGAATGCAATAATTCCTTTATTTGAATGGAAATTATTGACCGTCATTGGATTTTTGTACTTTTTATAGCTTAGGATTGATTATTTTTTATTAAGTTAAAAGACTATCAGAAAAAATATACTATAATGTTGTTCTCGTTGTTTAAAATTACCAATATTTTCTATTTTTAAGAGAATTTGCAGCATTTTTATTTTTATTTGTGATTTGTTATTTTAATGGCCTCGAGATAAGTTTGTTTAAAGAATTTTAAGATTATAAGGATAAAATACTTAAAAATATTTAAAAATAATACTTCGAAATTTGCAATAAATGATCATTTGGTCCGGGTACACAGTTATCGTCCTTTGATTTTCGTTGTCCACAAATATAGTCCCTAGTGTGGACAGTGTGTTACTTGTCGATTTTTTTTATACCCCTTCCGAATTTATTTCTCCATGTTTTATGACTCAAATAGTAAGTAGGGGGGTGAAATGACACTGTAAAAAAATTTTGGTCATGAATTTTAAAGTAAAGTAGTGATTTGGTCCAGCTGAAAAATGTTAAAAATTAGCACTTCGGAGGCTGTCAAAAGATTTGAAGACCCCCTTAGCATGAAATTGTCCATATTTTGAGTTAGAGCCGATGAAGT